TAGTAGTAGTAGTAGTAGTAGTAGTAGTAGTCGTAGTAGTAGTAGTAGTAGTAGTAGTAGTAGTAGTAGAACTAGTAGCGGCCGTAGTGAGCAGTAGTGGATTGGATTCCCGTTATTGTTCGCCGTGCCGGTTGTTGGTGGGTGGTTATCTCTCCTTGAAAAGAACCTCGCGTGGGCTACCATACGCGGGGGAGGTTTCCCGAGCCTGTCCGTGCAAGGCGCGTAGTGCAAGATCGCTCCGTCTCAGGTCGCTGCTCATGTTCAGTCAGTCCACATCAACCCAGTCAGCCCCCATCAGTCCAACCAGTCAAATCAATGCCAATCAACCGAATCAGTCCCCAGCAGTCCAATCTGACCCGTCAGTCCAATCAGTCCCTCCCTGCCCGCTCGGCCAGGATTCGAATCCCGATATTGTTCGCCGCGCTGGGCATTGGTGAGTGGTTCTTCCTCTTGGAAAACAACCCCGCGTGGGCTACCCTACACGGAAGAGGTTTTCGGAGCCTGTTCGTGCAAGGCACGTAGTGCAAGATCGCTCCGCCTCGAATCGCTGTTCAGTGTCAGTCAGTCCAAATCAATCCAGTCAGTCCCCATCAGTCCCCATCAACCCAGTCAGTCCCCATCATTCCAACCAGTCAAATCAATGCCAATCAACCGAATCAGTCCCCATCAGTCCAATCTGACCCGTCAGTCCAATCAGTCCCTCCCTGCCCGCTCGGCCAGGATTCGATTCCCGATATTGTTCGCCGTGCTGGGTATTGGTGGGTGGTTCTTTCTCTTGGAAAACAACCCCGCGTGGGCTACCCTACGCGGAGAAGGTTTTCGGAGCCTATTCGTGCAAGGCGCGTGATGCAAGATCGCTCCGTCTCGAATCGCTGTTCAGTGTCAGTCAGTCCAAATCAATCCAGTCAGTCCCCATCAGTCCCCATCATCCCAAGCAGTCCCCATCATTCCAATCAGTCCAATCAATGCCAATCAACCCGGTCAGTCCCCATCAGTCCAATCTGACCCATCAGTCCAATGAGTCCCTCCCTGCCCGCTCGGCCAGGATTCGATTCCCGTCATTGGTCGCCGTGCTGGGCATTGGTGGGCGGTGCTTTCTCGTGGAAAACAAGCCCGCGTGGGCTACCTTACACGGGGGGAGGTTTCCGGAGCCTGTTCGTGCAAGGCACGTAGTGCAAGATCGCTCCGTCTCAGGTCGCTGCTCATGTTCAGTCAGTCCACATCAACCCAGTCAGCCCCCATCAGTCCCCATCGCCCCAATCAGTCCCCGTCTTCCCAATCAGTCCAATTAGCGCCAATCAACCGAATCAGTCCCCATCAGTCCAATCCGACCCATCAGTCCAATCAGTCCCTCCATGCCCGCTCGGCCAGGACTCGAATCCCGATATTGTTCGCCGTGCTGGGTATTGGTGGGTGGTTCTTTCTCTTGGAGAACAACGCCGCGTGGGCTACCCTGCATGGGGGAGGTGTTCGGAGCCTGTTCGTGCAAGGCGCGCAGTACAAGGTTTTCCTTGGGTTTTCCTTCGGTTTTCCTTAGGTTGTCTTTCGGTGTTCCTAGGTTCTCCTTACGTTCTCCTTAGGCAGTCGTAATTTTTCCTGAGGATGGATGTATCGAGGATGAAGTTTCTCACGGTCCTCGCGGGTTCCCTCCCTCCCCGTGGGGCCCGAGTTCCACGCGGAAAAAAAAATCCATTATTGCTGAGGTCCCAGTCCGTCAATAAGCCCGCGGGACAATCATATATATATATATATATATATTATATATATATATATATATGCGCACTATTGGGGGGGGGGGTCAAAAGACCCTTTGGGGTTAGCTGTTGTTTTGCAGGTTGTTGTTGTTGGTGTGGCTGCTGTTGTGTGTTTTTGTTGGTGTTGCTGTGGTGTGTGAGTGTGTGTGAGTGTGTGTGTGTGTGTGTGCGCGTGAGAACGCGAATGCGGGTGCGCGTGTGTTAGTGTTTGCGTGCGCGCGCGTTTGTGCGCGCGCGCGTGGCCGCTAGCCGCCGACGCTCGGCTCTCGATGCGCGGGCCGGGGGCCCGGGATCCTCGAGTCCAGGCGTGGCGGTCCTCGGATATAGGATTCGAGGTGCTCGCAGATGCCCAAGACCAAGAACTCGGATCTTCGATCCGAGAATGAATGAGCGAGCCTGCTTAATGGCAGTCTGGGCCCAAGGACGGCGACGAGGGAGATAAGCGATCGCCGAGTCTCGATCCTCGATCCGTGGATATCGAAGCCGAGATCTTCGAGTCCAAGCGTGGCGGTCCTCGGATCTAGGATCCAAGGTGCTTAAATATGCTTGGGGCCATGATCTCGGATCCTCGACCCGAGGATCGAGTCTCCTTGACGGCGGTCTGGGCCCGAGGGCGGCGACGGGGGCGTCGACGATCGCCGAGGCTCGATCCTCGATTCTCGGATCGCGAACCCGAGGTCTTCGAGTCCAAGCGCGGCGGTCCTCAGATCCAGGATCCAAGGCGCTCAAAGTCGCTCGGAAACAACATGTCGGATCCTCGATTCGAGGATCGAACCTCCTCGATGGCGGCCTGGGCCTGACGACGGCGACGGCGGCGATCGACGATCGCCGAGGCTCGATCCTTATTCCTCGGATTGCGAACCCGAGATCTTCGAGTGCAAGCCTGGCGATCCTCGGATCCAGGACCAAGGCGCTCGGATCTCGGGCCCTCGCTCCGAGGGTGGAGGATCGAGCCTGCATGATTGATTGCTTAATGCAGGATCGAAAATCACTCGGCGAGAGGAGGGGGGTCGCGCCCCGCAGCTTGAATAGCCACTTGCGCGTGCTCGAACGCTCGCCTGGATCCTGAAAAACAGATGGGGCTCGAGCGCGCGCCTCGAGACGCTCGCGCGGCATCCTCGCAGCGAAAAGCATGGGGGCGCTTGGCTAGGGGCGCTCGTGCGCCGCGCGCTCGCCGCTCGCCGCCGCCCGGCTCGAAGGCGTCCTCTGGCGTGTACTTGTCGGCATCTGGCTCGGCCTTCGCGTCGGCCTGGTTCTTCTCGGGCTCGCGCTGATCGGTCATCTTGTAGTCGGCGTGGGTCTGGGCAGCGCTCGGGAATTCATCTTGATATTCTGGTCGAGAGCCACTGTCTCGAAGTCGAGCTGCTCGCCGGTACTTGCGTAGTCATGCTCGAAGCGCTTGCCCGGGCACTTCCGCCCCTGGAGCTCGAAGGCCACGTCTGCAGTGCGCCTGGGGCTCCAGCGCCACTTGGCGACCGCTTGCGCGGTGGCTCGCGCGTGGTCAAGGCCCTGCATCGCGCTGCGCTGGCGGCGCCAAGTGACGAACTGCTTGGCCTTGCGGGGGGCCAACTCGACGAGCTGATCGGCTGGCGCGCCAGGGGAGAACGCGCCGCCCCACTTCTCGACGGGTTCGAATTTCTGGTTGATCGGCAGCACGAGGTCGTGGAGTCGTGGAGGTGGAGGAACTCGGAGGGGGTGTCGGGAAGGGCATTGCTGGCGCGCTCGGTGTCGGAGCCGAAGGTGAGGCGCTGGGCGTTCTCGGCGCCGAGCTCGATGTTTTCCATCTTGGCGCGCCCGAGCATCCTCGACCTGAGGGGGGGCAAGGGCCTGGCGAGGTTCTCGGGCGGTTCTCCGCGATTCTCCAGCAAGTCGTGGAGGCGGGCGTCATTCTCGCAGTAGGTCTCGTAGAATAAAACGCCGCCGCCAGCTCGACATGCCTCTTGCCCCCCTCGTTGAAAGTGCTCCCGTGTTCGATGCTCTTGAGAGAACCGCCCCTGCAGGCCATCTCGAGGGCTGCTAGCGGGGCGCTCACCGAAAGCGAGGCAAAGTCCGCCTTATTCTTGCTGCGTCAGTGCCTTGCGCGCTCGATTGGCATTGGCGCATCTCGGCAATAGTGGTCTTGTCCGCGATGAATGACAGCCCGTCGAAGATTCTCTCGTTCTGCTTGGCCATGCGCTCGAGAATCCCGTTCGAGCTCGGGCTCGCGACCCCCTGCAGGACCGCGACAGGCCGGGTCGCCGCCCTGGCGAGCTCGGCGGCCTGGGGCGCGGCAGAGGCTCGCGACGCACTCAGGGGCAACGACGCTGGGGGGATAGGCATTGGGGGGGGAACGTCGACCTGGAATCGGCGATGCATCGGCGACGCATCGGGGATGCGCGTCCGATCGTGAATCCGCTATTTCCGGGGCGGGTTCGGGCTATCGAACCACTCTCTGCGATCTATTGGCGCTTGGGGATCGATGCATCCCCTCTATGCCCTAATCGTTGCCCCTGGGGGAGGTGCAGCTCGGTGCCTCGAAGAGGCTCGAAAATTTGAAATCTCGGAGACTCGGGGGAGCTCGGGCCCGGGCAGTTGCGAGGGGGGAGGATGGGGGGGGGGGGGGATGGGGGGGGGGGAGGGGGGGGGGGGGACGAGGAGGAGGAGGAGGAGGAGGGGGAGGAGGAGGAGGACGAGGGGGGGGGGGGGGAGGAAGAGGAGGAGGAGGGGAAGGGGGGGGAGGCGGAGGAGGAGGAGGAGGAAGGGACACGTACCGTGTGAGGGATGCGCAAAAAAAGTAACTCCAGTGCTCTGCCTGCTCAAACAACGCATGCAAATTCAAAGTCCAATCGGCCCCCGCGGCCCTGCCGCGCGTTCCTGACTCGGGACCGGGTGCGAAAGTGCGAATCCCATGGCCCTGCCGCACGTTCGTGACTCTGGCGCGCTGAATTGGCGAGAATCCCAGAGTCCTGCCACGCGCTCGCGATTGGAAGCTCACATGGTGAGACCACCATGGGCATGCTCAGAGTTTTTGATGCTGTTCCTAGTCGCCATGAGATGATAGCAACTTCGACTCGCCAGTTCCACCCTGGATTATCAAGTTCGGCCTCCGCCCCCCTCTCCACACACAAATCCAATTAGCGCGGGACGTTTTAAAGGGGGGGGGGGGGGGGTCAGGGGCGGTGGGCTATATTATCGGTGGCAATGGGTTATGTCATGCTCCGCATTCCTTTGCCCCTTTCACACGTGGGCGCGGCGTGGCGCCGCTGACTACTCGGCAAGCTGATCGGCGCAGGCGCGGATCACTGGGCGCGCCGGGCCCCTCGGGCCGGCCGAGTCCATCGCGCGCGCGTCGACTGAATTGCGCTTGGTTGGCGCCCGCGGTAGAATAGCCCAGTCCAAGCTGGGCGCCGCCTCGACGATGGCCGCGCCCGACGCCGCGCGGCGATCCGCCGCGGTGGATCGAAAAGACGTTCCCGTGACGCGGACATGCAGGCTCCTGCAGTATGTCGCCGCTCGCGGCAGCGCTGAGGCGGCGCTGGGCGCCCCTGCCAGGCGGCGCTGCAGCAGATCAAAATGACCACCAACATCTGCCAAGGCCTTGCCAGCAAGTGAACTGGCCGCCAACCGCCAGGTTCGACGCGGCCTCCGCGAGGCTGACCTTCACGGGGGCACTTCACCTCTCGCAAGACCAGCGCAGGTGGAAGCTAGCAGGGAATGTGATGGCGCAGACTCTTGGCAGCTTTCAGGAACGACGCGCCAGGGCGCGCGGCGACGCGCGGATCCCCCGGCGGGAAAAGCTTCGAAACTGCGCGCCGATCAGCGCGATTGAAAATCGAACGGCGGCGCGGATCTTCGGACTCTGCCCGACATGTGGTCGTGATGGTACCCGCTATCGAAGGAATGCGTGCGCCCATCTATTCTGCTCCGCCCGCGTAGCCATCTGGCAAAGCGTGGCCGGCACACCTGCGCAGCGACGTCCGCCTCGCTGGCCAACTCTGGGTCCATGGCCCGCCCCAGACGTTAGCAAGCCCCAGAGAGGCGCGCGCCTTGTCGGAGCAGGTGTGCCGGGCCCATCAGTTTGGGACTGCGATGGCGTCCTGCTGAGGCATCGCGCAGGAGCGTTTGCTCACCCTCGTCGAAATTTCTGTTTCGAGGGGGGAGCTCGGCGCGAAGTTGGCAGCGGGCGCTCTGGAGGACAAGGAATTCGGGCAATCGTCGCCGATCAGCCACTTGCTCACATGAACATCCAGCGACGGATAGGCGCTCAATGCAAGATGGGGACTGCCCGCTGAGGGAACATGCGCGCATTGCTCGACGCCGCCCAACCTGTTGCTGGCCTTGGCGAGCAGCTGACCGCGGTGAGAGTTTCAAGATTTGGTCAGCATGGTCACTCTGTCGGCCCCCATTTGGCCGGACGTCGTCCGGCCATTTCTGCGTCGACCCTCATGCAGCTGCTGCGCCGACAACACTCGCGCGTCATGCTTCGCGAGGGCGGTGGCCTCCCACTCCGCCAGATTAGCGATTCCATTGTGTCCTCGATGACTCGGGCCTGGTCATCCAAGCGACTTCACTCCGGCAGTTGCCCGGGCGGCTGTCGCACCTCGAGGTTGCTGGGCCTGCGCCCGCGCCGCTGGCGTTTCGCTCGACCGCGACGCGCCCGACCTGGGCGCCCCCGCCTGCGCTGGCGCCGGTCTCACACTCGCGCTCGCAGGGGGCCGACTCGACCTCGGCCAACCCCGCCTGGGCCCTTCCACGCGACCACCTGGGAGACGTCGGCGTTGCACTCCGCGAGCATGCCTGAGGTCCGACATTCAGGCGGGGGTTGGGCGACGTCCGCATGCTCGTCAGCAGCTCCGAGCGCGGCCATGGCGCCCCGTCGCGGCATGGCACGGCGCCGACGCAGCGATCCGCCATCTACCTCCCGCTCGTCCTGCGTGGGCGCGTCGGCCATCCGCGTGGTCTTGCTAATAATGTAATGTTCCGGGCTCCCCCTGGATCCCTGCCACCCCCCTGGCAATTCTGGGGGTCTCGTCGACAGTGGGCTCGCGTGCGCCCCCAATCGCTGCAGGGGAAGTGGGCCCCGCAGGTGGGGCATTTGTCGGCGCTGTCGCCCGCGGCGGGGCCCCGCCGACCCTGGCCGCCTGCTTGAAGCGCCGGCGGCGCGCGCGGAGGCCGGCGGCGCGTCGGCTCGCCGGCTATCTGGGCGTCGGGGCGGCGTCGGCGCTGGCGCCGCCTGAGCCCGCGGCCCCTGTCCCGGCGCTGCGCCACGTCATTGAACCGCTCGCGTGAAAAATTCTGGCCAGCGGGGGCCCCTTCGGCCGACCCCCCGGAATTGTCGTTGTCGCGCGTCTAAAAAGTCGAGGGGCCGCTCGTAATCTGGCCCCCGCGCGCGACCGATTATCTCGCCCGGCGTCGTCGCCGGAGGAGCCGGGCGCGCCCCGTGCCGGCGCGCGCGCGCCGCCGCCGATGCATTGGTCCGCGCCTGTGCCGCGTCTCCCGCGCGCCGCGCGATCGCCCGCTCAGAACTGTCGCGGCCGTCGCGGCCGCGCGCGGCGGACGGCCCGCGCCGCCTTTCGCCGCCGCCGCCGCGCGCGAAATCACTCGCGCGGTCGCGGCGCGGCCGCGTCGCGGGCGCCGGCGTCGCGCCGATCGCGAGCGCGCCCGGTCGTCGGTGGGCGGATCGGCGGTGGCGCGAGGTCTCTCCCCCAAGCGCGGGCATTTTCTTTCTGTCGGCCACCGTGACCGCGCCGATCGCCCACTGGCGCGCGCGGCTGCCGGACCGCGCGGCGCCCGCGCGATTCCTCGGCGACGACCTGCCCGAGCAGCCGGCGCGCGTCCGCATTCAACTGCAGCGCTGGCCACGCCGGCCTCGAGATGAGATCGCGACGCCGCGCGCTTTTGGCCGCCGCGCGCCGCGCCCGGCAAACTCGAAGAGCTCCGCGTGGAAGAGGCGGCCAACCCGCGCCGCAAGCTCCCAGTCCCGGCGATGGTTAAACGACGGCGTGGTCTGCTGGTGGTGCGATCATGCGCCCGCGGCGTTGCGTCCATCCTGGCACCCGCCAGACCAGCGATTGGGCGGGGGATTCGCGACGGGACCACTCTCTGCATGCTGGCGGCGATCTCGCAGTGCCCAGCCTAGTCGGGCGATCTTGGACTGCCGCCGCTGGCCGCGAGCGTTGCGCTGCAGCTAGCGAGCGATGCGCATCGCGCCATCGTAGAGATCCCGATGGGCACGGCGGGCGGGCGCACGTGGATGGCAACGTCGAACCAACCCCTCATGGGCCCAGGCGACGGCGCGGACAGAGCCGCCGCGCGTATCTCGTGAGTTCAACAAGCGACGGCTTCGCCCCAAACCGAATGCCGCGCGCCGGGCGCCGGGGGCGGGCCCGCGCCGGGCCCCCTGGCGCTCGTCCGCGGCATCCTGGGCGATGATGTCGGTCGCGCCGCGGCGCTCTGCGCTGGCGCTGCCCATAATGCGCTCGATCCCGAGACGGTTGGCGCCCTTGGGCCGCGACTGAGCACGCGGCCAGAAAGCGCATCTTGCACGGATGTCCTGAGACTGGATCTCGGGCCCATTCCGATATCCGCATCCGTCAGAAAATGCAGAATTGGTCATCTCGTCCCGCTTGGTCAAGCTGCAGAACTCGAGGACCCCGTCGCGTCGGGGCGGGCATTTCGCCAGGTGGGCCGTCGACGTTTCTCGTCTTGGGTGATGCATCGGCGGGCGATTGCGATTTCCCGCCTCAGCGATACATGCGTGTGGCCCGGCTGCGAAAACATTCGTTCACGTCGTCGCCCTGAATCTCCTCCACAGTTTTTCAAGTCGCGCCCCGTGTGGTTGCTGATGATAGAATTCCGCGGCGGATTCAGGGATATCGCCTTCCAACCCTGATGGCGCCGCCGATGCACTATCACGGGGCCTGGCGATTGTCAGCTGCGGCGGCAGTGGAGCCTTGGATGTCTCGTGGCGCGGCAGCAGGTGACTCAGACATGTCGTCGGCGTCAATGGTGGGGCCCGCACTGCTGAAATCCAGCAACGGCAGCAAATAGCTGTCAAAGAAGGTTCGCCTCGAGCGTCTTTGTTTTCCCGCCGCCGGAACAAACAACATGTTTCTCGAACTCCAATGTTGCTCTGCCCGCCTTGATCCGCACTGTTTCGACATCGCGACTGGAATGCTGCTGGGGACCTGCGGCCTGAAACAGGCGGCATCGCGAACTGACTCCTGTGCAACATCGTTTCCGGAACGAAGATTCACCTTCGGAGCGAGATGGTCGGTCATATGCTTCAGACCGATTTCACGCAGCAGAGTCGCAATGGTCTCTAAACGTGTCCGCGCCCACCATGCCCTTGGGGCAACGGGGTTCAACCGCGCCGCTGCCAAGCATCGGGGCCCCAACTGCGACAGCCTTTCTGGCCTTATGCACGCGGCCTGGCCCTACCTGTGGTAGTGGGTCTGGCCACTCACGTCGCGCTAACGCATCAGGGGCCGTCTGGGTTCGCCTTTCGCAATGAAGCGGGCAAAGGGAACGCCGTGGCGTTGGCTCCGCCCGAACACGTTCCCGTGGCTCGTGAAGTGGCGAAGATTGCGGCAATAGTGGCCGCGTGCCCTCGGCGAGCCCAAGCTCATTGGCAAACCGCCGGCAACATTCACCATGCTGTGCAACTTTCGCTGTTTTTTTTCCCGCTGACCAGTGCCTCGATCACGTCGGCCTCCTCGATCGGCGCTCGGTGCTGTGCTCCACCGGGAACGCCTCGCACTCAGGGTCGTCGTGTTCATATATGCCCGTTTTGAACGACGTTTGCAGCAGCCTCCTCCGCGAGGAAGATTCCATGGCCGCCGCCAGATATATTGTCCAGGATACTGCGATACCTGCGTGGCGCTGAAAGCGTCGGCCACATCAAGCCCTGCAAGGGCCAGTTTGCCGCCGCCATCATAATAGCTCCGTTCTCGGGGGCCAGGGGGAAGCCATGCAGAATCAACACTCCTCAATCGAAACTTATGGAACACAACTCCTGTTTCGGCTTCTCGAACCCGAGACCCCCTCTTATATAGCTCATTAGGTCGTGTCCCCAAAGGCGCTCACTAGTAAACTTTCGCGCTGCAATGAAGGATCGCCAGTATTGGTAGCCACCGCGCTGCCAACCACAATCCCCTGCGAATGCGCAGACAGCGGTGTCGGCATCGCTGCGCACTACAAGTGTAACGGTGTTCCGCTTCCTGGGAGCTCTGGAAGCCCCCAAACCCACAAAGCGCCCCCCAAAGCCGCTCCACGAACCTCTCCGTGGGCACAACCTCCGCCAGGCCCCAGACACGGCCGGAGCGCGCGGGCAGGAACAGCAAGAGTGCACGCGTGGGAACGCGCACGGAGGAAGAAGAGGAGAGGGAGGCGAAGGAGGATGAGGTCGTCGTCGTCGACATCGTCGTCGTCGTCGTCGTGGTCGACGTCGCCGTCTTGACACTCATCGTCGTCGTCGTAATGGCAGTCGTGGTCGTCGTCTTCCTCAGCCCCGTCTTTCGTCAGGCAGGAAGAGGTCCCTTCGCTCGCTCCGCGCCCGCGCTCTGCCCCGCCGGTCGGGGTCCACAGCGACGGTGCCCACACGGACGCAAGCGCCTGCGGCTTGCCGGGTGGGGGGGACAGGGTGCCGTCCTCGCCCCTGCTCCTCCTCCTCCTCCTCCTCCTCCTCCTCCTCCTCCTCCTCCTCCTCCTCCTCCCCCTCTTCGTCCTTGCACCTCCTTCTCCTCCTCGTTCCCTGCTGTTCGTCCTCCGGCTCATTCTCGTCCTCCTGCTGCTCCTCGTCTTGGTAAGGGCCCGTCCATTGCTTCTTCTTCTCCTCCTCCTCCTCCTCCTCCTCCTCCTCCTCCTCTCGTCCTTCTGCTGCCTCCTCCTCGTGCTGTTCGTCCCCTCTTCGTCCTCGTCCTACTGTTCCTCCTGCTCCGCCTCAATTATCGTATTCGTGTTCCTCCAGGTCCTGCTCCTCCTCCTCCTCCTCCTGGTGTTCCTCCTGCTACCGTACACTGCTACCTCTCCGTCCTCGTCCTCCTCCCTCCTCCTCGTCCTCCTCCTGCTCATGCTCCTCCCTCCATCCCCTACGGGGAGGAGGGAGGAGAAGGTAAAGTGACGGAGAGGAAGGAAGAGGGACGAGGGCGGAGGGAGGCGGAGCAAGAAAGCGAAGAGGAGAAGGGAGGAGGCTGGAGAAGGGAATGGAAGACGCGCCTGCCGCCAGCTCCCGCGCGGGGGCTCCGCGCCGCCCAGGGGCCCGAATCCGTCGGCGCGGGTGTCGATGCCGTGGCGGAGAAGCACGACGTCCCCCCGCAGCAGCCTGCCCGCGGCGGGAGGGGCCATACCTCCAAAGCATGGATCAACAATGTGTGCTGATTTTGTCCGCCGCTTTTAGCTGGGCCCTCGCTGGGCCCCGGGACCGTCGAGAAACGACTCGGGATGAAGAGGCGGCCGCAACTGTCCTGCGGTTTTCCAGTGGTTGTCCCATGAGGTTGCCCAGGCCTCAAAGTCAACCCCAGCCCTGTCTCCAGAGAGCGATCTGACCAGACTGGCGAGGGGAACCCAGCAGTGGTGACCGAAAACGAAAAACACATGCCAAACACCTGGGTCATTCTGGACGGCGAGAACCATGCAATTGCGCAGATCCTGGCCAGGCGCACCCCGAACTCCAGATCGTTGCGTCCGCCTTCCTGGCTTGGCCAGCGAGGCATACACACCCATCCTGGGCCCAGGATGCGCCTTGCGATATCGGTGCATGTCAGAAATTCTCGACGCCTGTAACAGACCCATACAAAGGATGCCTTTTGTTGTTCAATACGGCGTCCCTGGAAATCCCAACCATCCCAGGGCTGGCTCTCGATCCCCAGTAGTTCTCGGACAGTCCGGAGGCCCAACGAAGGCCCCTGGAGACTGACCACGACCAAATATCGTCCGTCGTGTTTTTGTCACGACGCGATCGTGTCTGGAGATGGACCCTCGATATCCTCCTGAGCATCGTTTGACCGATCGCTATCCCCATTGGCGTGGCCGGGGCCCTACTGGCCGATTTACTCCCCCCCCCAGATTCATGGGGATATGAGCTGCTTCCTGCGGGCTTCCAGGAGAATATCCCCAAGTGGGGTGGTGGAACGGTGCCGCATGGGGATGGGGATGAGGATCGGCCAAGCCTCCATCGCCGTCCTGGCCCCCCCGCAGCGTCGGCCTGGCCAGGACGCCCGGCTCCTGCCCGGGGACGCGCTCGGGCCCGGCCCGCGGGCCCGCGGCGCGCAGCGCCAGCAGGTCGCCCGGCCAGCGCAGCGGCCGCAGGGAGAGCCTGAAGACGGGTTGCCTGGAGGAGAAGGAAAAGGGAACCGTGACCGAGACAGAGCGCCGAAACGTCGTGCTGCCGATCTTGCACCATGACCAAGATCGGGATCCACAAAATCCTGCGACACCTTGGTCGCGGTCCCTGTGATTCTTCCCTCGACAGACTCCGTGGCGGCTGGGGAATCTGCCGATGGGCGGCAACCCTGACATCCTCAACGTGTGGCAAAAATTACGGCGGCATGTTTTGACCGTTCTCGGACTCTGGGGGACCTCACCGGGCCTCGCGACCGACACGCGACTCGGGTTGGGAAGCCGGCCCAGGGGAAAAGGTCGGGATGTCCAGAGGTGCCGCATTGAAGAAGTCAAAACATTGCATGTCTGGGAAACCAGAAAACAAGACATGCACACAAACTTGTCTACAAAGAGGATGACGATGAGGATGGGGAATCACGAATCGCATAACCTTCGCGTCATCGTGGCGTCCTTTGGATCTACTACACCACCACCACCCCTGACCAGAACTCTCCGGGGCTCGAGGTTAGTGGGTTGGCCCTACTGGTTGAGATAAGGAGGGTAATTTGGCACAGCAACCCACTGCCCAAGATGGTTCTTGCCAGGACTGGTGGTGTGTACGGCCGCCTTTTGTGGATGAGAACCCACACCCCGAGCGTCCTGCACTAGCAACGGCGGCTGTGTGCCAAGGCGGCTCTTGCCAGGACTGGTGGTGGTGTACGGCCCGCTTTTTGCAGATGAACACCCACTCTCCGAGCGTCATGAACCACAGTAGCGGCGGCTGTGTGCCCATGGTGGTTCTTGCCAGGACTGGTCATGGTGTATGGCCGCCTCCTGCGGATGACAGCCAACGCCCTGGGCGTCCTGAACCACAGTAGCGGCGGCGGCTGTGTGCCCAGCATGGTTCTTGCCAAGGATGGCGGTGGTTGTGCCTTGCAAAGTCTGGTGGTGGTGTGTAGCCGCCTGTTACGGGTGACAACCCACGCCTCGAACGTCCTGAACCACAGTCGATGTGACTGTGTGGCCAAAGTTGCTCATGCCAAGAATGGTGGTGGCAACGTTGTTGTAACCCCCAGCGGATAAAGTCCCGCACCCCGAGCGTCCTGAACCGCAGTAGCGGCGGTTGCGCGCCCAGTAATCGCCATCGTTCGGACGTCCATCCAATGTATTTTTCGGTTTCGTGCGTGTATTTGTTGGGGGGTGATCCTGTGATGTCCGCGCTTAGGGGCTAGGGGAGGCTCAGGGAGGCCTGGAGTGATTTCTGTAGGGGTGGGGGAGGCGCGGGGAGATATACAAGTATTATAATAATTTCTTTCCCCGCGTCCAATCCCTCTCACTCTCCTTCTCCTTATTCCTCCCTCTCCCTCCTCCCTTCTCTCCTTGCCTCTTGTCTTGAAGGCCGACATACAACTCGACAGAAGAATTCCTTCAGCCTTGAAGAGCTTTCGGCCTTGCGGAATGATGTTCGGACGTTATGTGGGAGTATGTTATGGGGATGCGTTGCCCCCTGTGAGGGCAGAAGTGTCTGAATTCGTTCCCTCCTTTGTGGGTTGCTTGAGCAGAGCTAACATTCCGCAGTCCCTAATGACATCTCTGCAACAGTCAATGCATCACAGCATAATGCATCAGCATGTCCGACGCCACAAACTACTAGAGCAAAGTGACTCACAGCATCGTGCATCAGCATAGCGCATCACAGCATAGTGCATCAATGGTCACAAAAAGATGTGTGACGCCACTCGGCCCTACGGCCTGAGCCGTTTTGGCCAACATGAGTTCAGATTCCGAAGTGTTGTGCCCACATCGGGGCTCCCCGCCTGACCTTCTCCAGCCCAAGCAGCAACGTGTGCGTGGAGGCAACGTTTCTTGAGAGATCATGGTTCTCGTTTTGCAGTTGCGATTATAGGTGAATGCGGCAAGCCTGAACCATCCGATTCTGAGACGTTGTTTTGTATGCACAGTGGGCTCTGCCAGGATTCGCTGCCACTCTCTGGTGATACGTATTTGTTGGGTGTCGTTGTCTCGAACTGGAGGTATTCAGAGTCCATGTCAGAGTTGAGTGCTGCGCGTGCCCTTCTTAGAACAGATCCAGGGCGGCGCAAGTACTGCAACTACACGAGCCTGCTCGAGTATCCGTGCCCACCCCGCAATTGCTTCCAGGTGCAGCGGGTCGTGTGAGCCTTGGACATGTTCATCGGGCTATTCGTCGGGACCCTCATCTTCCCGCGTTCATGCGGAGGGTCTGTTTGTTTGTGTCAGGGATCCTTGTTACATCTATTGTGTTGGGTCGTTGTATCGTTTCAGGGCTTGCTGGCAAATGCTGCATCGTCCCACTGACCATGCGCAGCAGACGTGTGCTCTTCCAGTTTACATCGAAGCCCAATCGAACTGACATCGCATCATATTCTCGCATGGAAAAATGCAAGCAAGATGCGTCGGCCTCGGATTCAGAACCAGGTAACTAGAGGGACGTTGCCGACTCTGGCAACGGCGATCGTCGCACAACCCATGTGTCGCTGAATATGTTGCGGTTCATTCGGCGTACGGCTTTCTTGCGATAGTTCAAGGACTTAGAGAAGCAGAGCGAAGCTACGTTCAAAGCTCATTACCCACATGTCTATGAGGCTATGCTCGCTGAGTTGACCAACGACGGTTCCTCTTATCCTAGTAGAACGCAGGCATGGCCGACATAAATAGAACGCAAACATGGCCGACGCGCTCCGCGTCCGAGGTTAGACATGGCCGCGGCGAATATCGAAAAGCGAATGCTGAGCGTTGGGCCGTGGAGCCGGCCCAAAGTCGGGCGCCGGACCGTCCACTTGCACACCGACTCGAGTCCAAACTCGGGGGAAGAACTCACGGGGAGCTTGTGGGACATATTTCTTCCTGACGCGTCAGTGTAGGGGCATTTGTTGCCAGGCGCGTGCCCGGGCCACGGCTGCCGAGGTGCGATGGACAAGGCATTTGCACTGTTGTGGCAGCTGTGGTTGATTGCAGGTCCTCGCGTGGACGCGCTTGAACACTTCCTCGGAGAGTGCTAGTCGATTACAACCGACATGGGCCACGACCGTCTGATCACAGATATGGGGGACTGTCTGAATGTCTTTGCGAGCAAGCTGTGGCTTCAAGTTTCGGCCCAGTCTGCGTCGTACAATCGGCTGCTGGAGTGCAAAAAATGGTTTTTCCCGACTGGTGTCATCTTATTTCTGGGTGCCTGAGGGCATCGCTGCAGGCTCTGGAGGACTGGCTGAATATCACGGCCATTCTTCGAGCGCGCTGCAGATTATTTCGAAAACATAATTATCGTGAGGCGCCAGTGGTTTGCTTGATTGCAAAGGGGCATAGGGGACTTTTCGAAACGGTTGAGATACTTCTCTGCGCCGTTCGCTTAGTGGAGGTTCGAGACGTTCCTGGATGTCGTTGCTGCGCTGAGCAAGCTTCGCTTTGTATGCGCGCTGTTCAGACCTCACATGCTCGGTGCGCTCCAGGACGCGCAGGACTTCAACGAGGCTCTCAAGCACAAGGGTGGCAATCGTTTCTGGCGTTGGGTGAGCGGCTTCACCATGATGGCGAAGCCGACCGAGCGGTTTAGGACATGGGCGGCAGCATGCCCACGCCCTGTGCGCCAGGAAGACCCGATGAAGGGGAAGAGCGCCAAGTGCGAGCTGCTGGGCCGACGGCTCCACGAGGCATCTATGAGGGTTCAAGAGTTGAGGACAGAACTCACTGGCGTGGAAGAAACTCTGGTTATCGGCGACGTCCGGGACAACGAGGCTGTATTCAGTGACGTGACATGTGCCCTAACGCGTTTCCTGCCAGAGCTCAAGGGGCACATCGCTTGGACTGGTATGATGCCATACGCGTTCGCGAATGCCACGGACCAGGCGGTCGCCCGATCAATCCTCCAACAGTGGGAAGTGATTCCCCGGCGAGACCACCGCAAAATGACGGTCTTGCTCATGGGCGAGTTCGAGCAGGACATCCGGGGGATCGCTGTCGCGGACGAGGGCAGCGGCGGCGTCCCAGGCCGTCTGGAGGAGCAGGCCGATGCCTTTTGGAGGATCCCGCTGTCATCCCAGGTTGCTGAAGGCTACATGTCAACCAGGCTCAGCAAAACTCACGGTGGCGACTCTTGCTTGCCGTGGTTGCGATCCGCCAGCAAGATTTGGCAAAACCTGGATATCGTGGCGATGCTCGAGGGCTGCCCCCAGGGGGAAGCATGCCTAGATTGCGAGTTTCGACGCGCGACGAGGGCGTTGCAGACGAAACGTAAGTTGTTCCTGAAGCGCGCCACGACACCGCTTTGTCAGTGCATTCGGCGAGTCTATCGCCTCGGCGAGTTCAACCATTTCGATTGGGCAGACATCATGACAGGGGACAATGCCGCAGCCGAGATTGCGATTGCGGGCGTTGCAGGTGGCGCTGGCGCAGGCGAGGCGCCGCCAGCGGGCGGCGGACATGCTGGCGATGGCGGCGATGGCCTTCCCCCGCCACCTGGGCGCGACGCAGCGCTGGTCGCGCCCCGCGGGGGGCCGCCTTTGCCTGCCGACCAGGGGGCCAGCTTGAAGAAGAGCTACATGTACGCAATGATTCGCCCCCGCTGCTTCTACAGCGTCGCGGTCCCAGACGACGACGACCCCTTCGTGTTCGAAGTATTAAGGGCGGTGACGGGGCCGTGGCTCACGGTCAACCCCATCAGAGCGCAAGTAAGGAAGCCGATCTTTGAACTCGCCATTCAGACATATGCGTTCTGGGGTCCCGCAAAGGGGGTCGGTGCGATCATATACCCTGATGGCGATGCACTCCGGACTAATATCGCTGCAATTGCCCCATTGGCGGATCTCATGGATGAGCTGTATGTTCGGGAGGTTGCGAGAAACCGCGACATGCCTGGCTGCCTTGATTTCAAAGCACGCTCCCTGACTCGACCAACTATGGCACGCTCTCTGGCTCGCCCCTGATAGTCATGAAAGAACTCAGCAACCGAGGTTTTGTCATGTCCCACACCTT